GTTGGTTTATTAGGGAGAAACCCAAAGGTCTTACTTTTAAGATTTCAACATTTAAGATGCCTGCATGTGCGCACATACCCACATGCACACACACATACAGATCCACGTACAGGTACAGATACGGGTATGGGTATGGGTTCGGTTAAGGGTTGCTACTGGTTTGCGTATGGGTATGGGTACTGGTACGGGTACGGTACAGGTACGGGTACAGGTACGGGTACACGGTACGGTACGGGTACGGGTACTGGTAGGGTACGGGTACGGGTACGGGGTATGGTACACACACAACACACACACACACACACACACACACACACACACACACACACACACACACCACACACACACACACACACACACACACAACACACACACACACACACACACACACACACACACACATACACACATACACACACACATACACATACACATACACATACACATACACATACACATACACACACACATACACACACATACACACACATACACACACATACACACATACACACACATACACACACATACACATACACACACATACACATACACATACACACACATACACACACATACACACACACACACACACACACACACACACACACACACACACACACACACACACACACACACACACACACACACACACACACACACACACACACACACACACACACCTTCACACATGTGCACATATATATATATATATATATATATATATATATATATATATATATATATATATATATTATATATATATATGTATATATGTATATATAATAATAAATATATATATATATATATATATATATATATATTATATATGTATATATGTATATATATATGTATATATGTATATATATATGTATTATATATATATTATATATGTATATATATATATGTATATATGTATATATCTATATATATATATATGTATATATGTATATATGTATATATATATATATATATATATATATGTATATATGTATATATGTATATATATATGTATATATGTATATATCTATATATATATATGTATATATCTATCTATCTATATCTATCTATCTATCTATCTATCTATCTATCTATAATATTATATATGTATATATGTATATTATATATATATATATATATGTATATATGTATATGTATGTATATATAATATATATATATATATATATATATATATTATATATATATATAGATATATATGTATGTATATGTATATACATACATACACAGATATATACATAGATGCATACTACACTTAAACCTATGTATATAGTTATGTACATAAATATGTAATATATAGATACATATATACATTCATATAGTCACATCTATCTTTATCTATCTATCTATCTATTATCTATATATATTTCATTCTTATAGAGATAGATAAATAGGTAGATAGATAGATAGATAATGTTTACATGTGTACTTATTCATTAATTGATTTACTCGTACATAGAGACACATATATACTTGATAATTATTGATTAAGTTGGTATGAGCATTATCATAAAAATATTTCTAAAAATTGTATCATGTTAATGTAGTGAGTCATTTAGTTCAGACATAATGAAGTAATTGTTTCAGCATTTTTTATCCTATGCAGAATTTTTTTTACTGAGGCAGAGATGCACAAGAGAGAATTTATTTTTTTATTTTATTTTTATTTTTTTATTTTTTTTATTTATTTTATTTTTTTTTTACTGAGGCAGAGATGCACAAGAGAGGATGGTGATTACTGGCTGAGTGCACCATGTTAAATCAGCACCATTGTATTTCCAATCATTATGGTCACCAACCTCTCAAATGATCAAATCAAATGATTATTATCACAAGCCTGTCAACCTGTCATCAGTCATCATCAGCCTGTCGTGTGCATCTTCACCTTGATAAAAAGGAGTGGGCACTGGTATACTAAAAAGGCTTTCCTTATTTGCAAGTACCACAATATTTGAAAGCACTCTGAGATATTTTGCAGTGTTATAATTTTACGACTGGCCTGGCTACCCTCGTGAAATGTATAAATCGCGTAATGGTGGGGGAAAATTTTGTTTTAATGGGAGTGCTATTTTGTATTTCTGATTTCTGATGAGAGAGTAGACTACCATATGTTTGGTGCCAGAGAATATGAAGACATGCTAAAAAATTTCAGTGAATTTGAAATAAACTATCTGGTTCTTGGCATAGACATGGGTCAAGGGTTGAACGTATATGTAGGCTGTCTTCTGTGACTAATAAATTCTGCTTCGTCCTGTTTGCAGATGCCGCGACCACCCCCAGCTGGAATGGTCGTCAATCCAATAACAAGTACCCAGCAAGGCAATCTTTCAACTCAGCAACCATGTAGTTAAGATAGGATTTTTTTAATTTTTAGAATAGGTTGGAAATATTACATGAATATAATGAATATCCAGTTAGTTTTATTTTTTTTATTTAGTTCTGTCATTCTAAAACACTATGTTTAAGAGTAAATTATCATATAGATTTTTTTTTATTGACATTGATATTTATATATTTCTTTATATAGCTTGTTTTACATGGACTTCCCTCTTGTTTTCAGCAATCATAGCACACAACGTTCAAGCTCGGGTCCCGGTTGGCATTGGTCCAAACAGACCGCGTTGGTTGCCAGGTGAGTCAGAATGGGATTGGAAGTTGTCTGTTTGTTCAGGTTGGTGGCATTTTTGGTGGTCTGTGAGGCTTCATTTTTTGCCTGTCAGGAAAGAGCCAATTTATACTTGGATTATGGAACTGAAAACCAGGAAGAGATGTTGAGTATGAATCTGACTGCCTCTCAGTGTTAGGACTTGGCTAATTACTGTTCAGTAAGTAGTTGGACATTCTAGACCAGTGGCTCCCTAACTTGCTTCTGTAAAAGTGCCCTCAATTCATGTAGTCCTTACTGCAACAACCTCTCTTTAAAGGGCACCATTCCTCCCATTTTCAAGTGGGGGTATGAAATCTGAGTTATGGCTAATTAAGAAAAACTCACCCTCATGAATATGATGTCCTACAAGTTTTTCTGTGAACCATAACAATGCGTACTTATCCTTGCGAATGTGATGCTGTCCTACAAGTTTTTCTGAGTATTGTAACAATATGTAACATTTAACCTCGAGAATATGATGTCCAACAAATTTTTTCTGAGTACTGTAACAAAGTGTAACCCCTATCCTCGCTAGTGGTAGTTTATTTCACCGTTTGTACTTTGTGCTTTTCTTGAATACAGATAGTATATTTAGTTTTTTTTACATCAGTGAAATATGTATATATGTAACAGAAGTATTAGTAAGTGCACATGTAGATAAATACACAAATAGATGGAACAAGCTGTTACCATTTTACTGTATTTCTGATCTTTTTGTTGCAAGAATTTAACTTTGGCTATGAAGGAGGTTAAGATTATTATTTTTGTAATTTACAAACTAATTTTCATATTTTATTGCAAGAAATGGCATTAGAGAGATAAAGTCAGAGCAGTCTTTTGGTGTTTAAGAGCATCCAATATGCGGGTGATAAAGTATGAAAAAGTAGCAAAAATAATAAAGGGGGTCCTTGATTTTTTTCCACAGTGAAACATGCTTTCTGCTGAAAATTTCCATCCAATCTCATTTTTAAAATTTTATTTAGGAAGAACACTAAAATGTGCAGGGAACTAGCTGTATATTGTATTTAGGATATTTGAAATTGTACACTTTATGCAATGACCCAGAAACATAGCTTTTTTTTTTGGTGATTCTGTTAGACATAGCAACTCAAACCTAAATTAAAATGTAAAAATCAAATATATAAAGGTCTTATTACCAAAAGTAATATTGGAAACAAATGATAAGTATAGGATGAGCACTTTCAAAGCAAAAATACCTCCTCCAAAATCAGATTTCTCTTTTCTTTTCTTTTTTTTTTTTTTTCAAAAAAGGGGCGAAATTCTAAGATCCCAATGTTTTTTTTCTAAGCATGTTCATAAGCATTCTGTTGGTATAAACAAAATTTTGATTAGTTAAAACCTTATAGCAGAGACATATGACAGCTTAAAAATTGTGGTTTTGAAGAATAAGTGAAGAAAATTGTAATTATTTTAGTTCCTTTTCTCCATTAGTGAAACTTTATTATCTGATTGCCATAGAAACTACATTTGGGTCGCTTACAAATGCTGTTTTTTTCAAGAAGTTCTGCTAAAACGGAAATTTGTGAAAAGAAAATCCAAACACATTTGCCCAGGACACCAACTTATTTCCAGATGAATCAGATGCCTCGAGTTTTTAGTACATGCATAGCATGTCTTTTATTATAATAATTTTTTAAAGAGATTCAGATTTTCTTCTTCTTTTTTTTCATCCTTTATCTTTTTTGACAAATATTTTCATGGTTTTATTTTTTTTCAAAACCTTAGGATCTCAGATGTTTGTGCTCCAATTTTTGTTTTACTCAGGAAATAATACATTACATATTTAGCAAATTTACCTTGGGATTTAAAAAAATAAGCTTTCATTTAGGTATTAAAAAAAATTATAGACAGTTTTGCTTTATTGCAAAAAATATGGCAATTTTTCTGTGTTAGTTTATAACTCTCACTTGTCTTTAAAATTCCATGAATAGGAAAGGAATGCTTTTATTTTTGAGAAGAAAAAAAATGAGTGATTTCATATTGTTTTTTTAATTGATAAATTAAAAGAATACGAAAAGTAACATAATTCTTGTTCCACTGCAGATCCAAATGCTGCTCCTGGGAACACTCATGGTGGTGCTTGGCCTGTGGGGGCAGGCCAGCGGGCACCTACCATGCAGCCTGTTATAATGACAAAGACTCAGCCGCCTTTACCAAGTAAGTGCACACTTGCAGTGGATTATATATATTTCTTTCCTGCTTTTCAGATTTTTCTTTAATATTCATTATTTTGATATTGATACTGTTTTGCAGTATTGGGTAAGATTCTGTTGCTGTTGACTTTTAAGTTAGAGTAAAAAGTGATCTGCTTTTG